AGAGTCCTTTGCTAACCTCTCGGATTCTTTTTTCTCGCGGTGATCCGCGATGTATTTTTTCAAGTATCCCTTCCGGACCATGTCTTCTATCTGGTCCTTCAGCTGGATACACTCCTCAGTGTTGTGGCCCGAAGACTCGTGGAACTCACACCACTGATTTTTATTTTTTCGCTGATACCACTCTGGGAGTGGTCTCGGCTTTCGGTAACTCTGCTCCTCCTTCGTCACACTGTAAATTTTGGCGCGTGGAAGAGAGAGCGGAGTGTAGGACTCGTATCTGCCTGTGTATGAGGCAAACCTGTCCTTCTTTAGGTCGCTGGCCGAAGATGGCTCCGGAGCCTTTGATTTTCCCTTTGCCTTATGGCCTTGGCCTTCAGACAAAGGTATTTGCCTCTGTTTCCCTCCCCCGGATTGAGGTTGGGTTTTTGCTTTATTCCATTCTTCGGCTCGGATGAACTTATCCGAAGCACTAAGAGCTTCCTCCAAGGTCTGCGGGGTATGCATGACCATGAAGTCTAGGAATTTTCCTGGCTGAAGGCCATTCTGCATTGCAAAAACAGCTAGCCCCTGGTCCAGCTGAGAGACGCTTGATGACTCGTTACTGAAACGGGTCAGGTAGTCTCGGAGGCTTTCGGTTTCCCCCTGTTGCAGACCCATGAGCTCTGCGGTAGTCTTTTCTCGGCGGTTTGCCGTGGAAAACTTGCTCCTGAACTTGGAGGACAGATCATCCCAACCTGTTATGGAGCCTTGCCTTACTCCCTTGGAGATCCACGCTTGCGCGACCCCCTTGAGAGTGGTTGGGAAATATTTGCACCAAGTTGCCTCGGATCTGGGGCAAAGATGCATATGAGCCTCATACGAGGCCACGTGGTCCTTCGGATCCGTGGTCCCGTCATATGTGATATGCGACGGTATTTTAACCGTGGGTACGCGCTCTTCTAGTATCCATTGCTCGAATGGTGAACTAGCGGGAAGCATAATGGCCTTGCCCTTGTTCCTGGCCGAAGGGACCGCGCTCCGCCCTCTCAGAGAGGTAGGAGTGGTTTTCGTCCCTGGCTGGGAAGTCTGGGCCTCGGCTGCAGGGAACGTGAGGCGACTACGCACGCTCGGTTCCTGGCCGCCGAGTCGGTCAAGGACGCTTCTGCGAGCAGTCTCAGGTTCCCGGCGAGTAGATTCTGGCCGAGAAGCTGAGCTGCTGCTCTTATGCGCTGCTGGTCTTGAGGATGAGGATCCTTTAAATAATTGAGAGTTCTTCTTCCTCTGTTTTTCATTTTTCCAAGAATCCTCCTCCCACTCTTCCAGTTCCCGGAAGGAAGGAAGCTTCCCACCGTCATGGTCTAACTTCCTCCGCTGATGCCGGGTATGCGGAGGAGTTCGATCACGAGGCGGTGGCATATTCTGTGCCCTCATTGCCTCCATGAGTACTGCCAGCGCTCTTGCCACCTCCTCCGAACTGGGCCCCGTCAAAGGGGTCCCCGGCCGAGTGTGGTAATGAGGCCGTGCAGCCGATGGTTGGCTTTGGGACACCGAATATGTCCTATGATCAGACTGACCCCTGCTAGACCGAGAGTGGTCCGGCCTATATTGGGAGTCATGCATTATAGGAGATAGGGAATCCTCCTTGTGTGATCCTCCCCCGAGCCGGCACCCTTGGGAGAGTTCCGGTCCGGCGAGGGCGATGGTGTAGGGGTTTTAGGCTTTTCGCCCGCTCCTTGACGGAGGCTTTTGCTCTTGCGGTTCTTAGCCATGGCTGCTAAGATAATTGCAAGATGATCTTGGTTAGGAATTTGGCTTAAAGATTTTTGAAAGTCTTCCCCACAGACGGCGCCAAATTGTTTCGGTTGAAAACAATGGGACCTTGCCGAAGGTCCACTAAAATGGAGAAGACTGGATTCGATCCAAGCTGTGTTGGGCCGAAGGTTTCCTGCACAGTGAACACACGTAAACTAGCCTCGGGGGTGTTTCCGAGGAAGGCCCCTCCGATGCTAAAGTCAGTACAATGTGTAAAAAGGAAGACACTATGCAAGAGAGTTTGTAGCTTGAGGCTTTTGTGGAGTATTTCTCAATGCAAGAATGAGCATATGAGTTGGAATAATCCGTGTATGAGATAATGCATGTGTTGTTGTTGTGTCTGATCTCGTATGTGATGTTATGAGATGTCCTCTTGAATGTGTTAATATGAGGGCTTTTATACCTCATCATATTTGGAGAGGTTGGGCTTTAGCCCAATTGGCTTACTTTGTGGGCTGACTTTTGACTTTTGAGCAATTGGAGAGTTGAACCTTGACCTTGGGCTTTTAATTGGATCATTTAGTGCTCCGGCCCAATTTTGACTAAATTGGACCCAAACAAAATGTATAATGAATAACAGGAAATAAGATGGCAAAATGATGCACAACAAACTTAATGCCTAATTTAGTTGATCTTAGTGACAAATATGTACTACGTAGGATATAATATTACATAGCTACTTGCCCACATTTTCATTAGCAATCCAACAATAAAATAAAATAAAATGAAAAGCAATAATCTTGATTAAAAATGTAAACCATATCTTAATATCCTAATCCAATAAAATCTCGAGCCACGCGCCCCAAAAAGGGAAATGAATTTGGTATTGGAAGCCAAAAAAAGTGGGAAAATACCACCCAATTACACAGCAAAAAGCAATGGATTATACCAAACCAAATTGAAACCCTTATTTATTTTGCTAAACCCTATGTGGTCAGGGTTTGGGATCCAAACCCATTTTCAAAATTGTGTAAATTTTATTTTTATTTTTTAATTTTTTTTATTGCAAGAAACCAAAATGGTCCTTATGAACCTTATCTTTGGTTTATAATTACCCAATTAGGCAAGCAAAAATGCACCATACCTTCCCATTGTGGAATGAGTGTCAAACTAGTTAACTATATTGAATGGTCTTATCCTATTTGAAAAAGAAGCATTCTCTCATGCACCGTTTTTTTAGGTTACTAACTTACTCAATCTTGATTGCGTTTTTACTCTATAGTTCAATGTTATGAAATTCTTATTATCTATAGGTACTAATCAGTAGGAGTTCCCATTTGATTAATTTAAAGGCGAAAATAAATTTACTAACTCCAAATCAATTTGTAATAACGTTGTGCATTATTAAAATCTTGCAAGGAGGAGAGAAATATAAAATAATTTTACGAATTTAATAATTACCTATTTTTATTAATTACTATGAAGTTTGTAGTAAATAATACATGCCATCCAAAATTTTACTCCATATATTTATTAGAAAACTGATATTGTGTGAATTGAACTTAAATTAGTAACTTTTACACAGAATAAAATGAATATATTACAAAGTAGATTTGGTATATTTGTGGATGTTCTTTCTTTAGGAATTCATTGAATGCAAATGATGATTTATTATTAGGATTGATGTGTAAGATTAAAAGATAAGCTTGCCTCAAACATCGTAGTTGCCATTTTTGTAAGAAGGTTGATCAACAAAGATTTTTGAACCTTATTAGAAATTCCTTTAAAAAGTAAAATAAGTAGTGTGTTCTCATGTTTCATTCCATTTTATTATACGTAATCTTACTATAGAAACCTTATTAGAAATCCCTTTGTTCCTTTTATCCAAAAAATAAAAATAAATTGTATCTTGTGAGTCATAAATACACCAATACCTCAGAACATTTGACAATGAAAAGACAAAGAATAAACTTAGGGTCTGTTCTCATTGATTGAACTGAGCTGAATTGAACTGAACTTATTAGAGCTGAACTAAACTTATTAGAGCTGAATTGAAATGAATATTTTATAAGAGAAGGAAATTAGGAGCTAAACTGAACTGAATTTATTAGAGCTAACTGAAAATAATCATATCAGAACAGACCCTTATAAGACATAAGTCCTGAGAAATCAATTATCCCCCCTCCCTTCAGTATAATTAAGTAAAAGAAACATTAGCCAAAATTTTGATGATAGGTGTGGAGGAATATAAAAGATCATCAACCCTATTTTAAAAAAAGAACCGCTCAAAAAAATATAGTAAATTAAGTAATAGACTAAAAACGATTTGTAAGGCCCTGTTTGATTCACCTTAATTTTGTTGAACTGAAATTATTTTTACTGAACTGAACTTATTTTACTGAACTGAACTTAATTTTACTGAACTTAAATTATTTTTACTGATTTTCTATTATAATTCTTCTTTAAGAAAACTGAATTTTACTGAATTGAACTTATTTTTACTGAACTGAAATTATCTTTACTTAATATTATTTTTTTTAAGGTGAAGAGAATAGGGCCTAAGTCTTATTAATTAAAAATCTATCCTTATAAAAATTTAACTAGAAAAATGCAATTCCTTTTTACAATGATATTCGACTCAAATAGTCACTAAAATCAGTTATACAGAGTATACAAGTGTAAATAGTCTAAGGACATGTGAGAAATCACTATCTAAGTTTAATTACTAAAATCTTCAAACAAAGTCGAAAAACAGATTATCCAACTAGTATTTTTCACGTTCAACACATTCAGTACACTTGTATATTTATTTAATTCGACACATTTAAATTATTCCAATGTTAACTTTTCACTAGTTTCACACATTCATGTAGCTATACCAAATATTTTATTGGTTTATACATGGCAATACATGTCCACATTCATAAATTTCATATGTGCTCCCTTAATCAGCAACTTCAACTTCTTAGTTCATAGTTCACGTCTCACCAAATGAGGAAGTTAGTTAATTGCTACTTATCATGTACCCTTCTTTAGAAAAAAAGAACCAAAAAAAAAAAAAAAAAATCAACATACATGCATTGCATTGGTAAAATTGTTAATTTCTCCAACTTTAAGACCCAATACTAACCTTTATTTCTAGAATATATGTAGTACATGAGCACCCATATATTAAACATTGTAGTAAAAATATAATATTGAATTTTAAATACAATAGTACTAAATTCCCAAATTACCCTTGGTCCACCCTTTATAAATGAAGTCACCCTCTATCATCCTTTATCCACATGCACTTCCTCCTCTTCGGTTTTCTTTCACTCAAACCTTGTAAGAAAACACCCAAATAAACCAAGTGAGAAATTCAAAGAATCGAATTTGTCAAGCAAAGCTATAATAGCAACAAACTTATTTAGCATATACACAATTAAAAAAAAAAAAAAACCATGCAAGGTGAAGATAATCCGGTCGGTTTAATCCCTCAACTCTACTCTGGTATATACAATCAAATGGCTCCGCAACAAGGTACTCCCTCTATTCTAAATTAGTCGCATCACTTTATTTATTTATTATGCGCGATTATTTACTATAAGTAAATTAAAGTTCCATGTTTTTGGGTTCACGTACCATTATATTTATTTGATGTATATATTGATTAAGTGATTAATTATAATGAGATCATTTTAAAAAAAAAAAACTTGTAGGAGATCCTCCAAAACGACGTCGGAGGAGAAAGAACAAAGGTGATGGGAGCAGTTTGGCTGCTAAGAAGAGGAAGCTTAGTGAAGAGCAAGTGAATATGTTGGAGATGAGCTTTGGTTGTGAGCACAAACTCGAGTCCGAACGAAAGGATCGGCTTGCTTCGGAGCTGAATTTGGATCCGAGGCAAGTTGCGGTTTGGTTCCAAAACCGAAGGGCTCGATGGAAGAACAAGAAGCTCGAACATGAATACTCCAAGTTGAAAAATGAACATGAGAAGACTATTGTAGAGAAGTGTCGTCTTGAAACTGAGGTATTGTATAGTCGTATAGATATCTGAATTTTAAGCTTAAGATACCTTTAATTCTATGATTTTTATAAATTCACTTGAGTTGAACGGAGTAGATTAAACATCAGATGAATACTAATGAATAAGTAAGAGTTAACGATTTCTCTATCATACAATAAACAAGTTTTAAGTATCTTATTATTCTTATTTTGGATTTATTTGCAAGTTATTTACAAAGAAACTTCATTACCATTTTCAAACATATTTATCCATGTATGTGGAATTTTTTTGTTTACTCATGTCTCAATCACTTTTTTTTTTTGAAAGAAAATAGATAAGAACAATTGACAATTTGACATATAGGAAGACCTATCATTACAAGAAAGTGACCAAAATTGAAAACAAGATGTAAGATTTGTAGGGCAAAAAATATAATGAAAAAGATTCTATTGTAAAAAAATAAATTATAATCAAATATTAGGTAATGAGTAAGGGGATTAGACTCTGCCATTGCCACCCAAATGTACAACAAAAAACATAGAGTTCACAAAATCCGTACAAAAAACTTGAAATTGTTTTGAAGGTTGGGTACTACTAGACAGTAGACACATTCATCAACTGTTGGAGCATATGAGCTTGCTTTTGGCTATACATGTGACATCCTCCACGTGTACCCACATCAAACCATGAAATACCATATTATATGACCATAAAATACCATATAATATATAGTGACGAAACATCTAGGCAAATGAAATACCATATTATATACAGAGTACTACCAATCACTAAGCTAATAAAGAAATATTTGTACTACTCTATGTTAACAAACTCCCTCTATGTTTTAACTTTTTTGTGCTATATATCATTTATCCCTTTTCTAAATTTAGCCCTCATAAAAATTGTTTAGATAAGTCATGTGGTACATACATGAAAATCGATGTGTTACTTGATCCACATCCTTAAAAGTTTTAACATATTGTGATAATATGGAAATGTTATTATGTTTTTTTTTTTACGGATTTTGTTTGGACGCGTTTATCAGTTGTGTGACTCATGAGCAAAATTACTTTTTATGTGTAGGTGTTAAGCCTTAAAGAGCAATTAAGTAACGCGCAAAAGGAAATGCAAAAACTAGTAGATAGGTCATCAACTTCATCATCGGCTATATCAAGCAACAGTCCTAGCTCCTCTTTAACAATGGATCAACATCCTAATGTGGTCGACCCTCAACTTCTTGAGGAACAAATTGGAATAGGAGGATGTTTCGACAGTATGTTTTATGTCCCAGATACTAACTATGGCGCTAGCATGGATTGGGCTGCTGGTCTCTATATGTGAATTGAGTTTAATTAAGTAGAATAATTAGGGAGGAGTTGGATATATATAAATTAATTATCTATAAATTGTAAATTATATTTATTATTATATTCACTAATCTAATTGTAATATTTTGCTTTTTAGGGCATGTTATGTTCAAACTATGTAATGGGAGTTTATCTTAATATATTAAGTAGCGTTTCCCTCAATCTAAGTTTCGTTTTACTTTTCTCATTTGCTATTAGAAATATTAGATTACAAATTGATACAATATTACAATCACCAAACTTTTACCACTTAAACTAAGTGAGGTCAATACATTAGTATCTGTTGGTCTTTGGTAGAGTAAAAAATTGTAAATAAATTTGTAAAATAAATTATTATAGGTGCAAAATGTCAAACTTAGTGATGAAATAAACAATGTCATGCATGACGACTTGTTAGGTCAACTTTCTAGACAATTTCTAAGTATGTAAGTAGTAGTGCAAGCTCATTAGATTCGCTTATAATAAACATATTGTTACAGTAGACAATACAAAATAATATTACGCCGTAGTAAAACTTTTGGATCCTACCCTAAGAAAATAAGGTATATCTAAATCTTCAAATTACCCATTTTGAGAACAGAAATTCTCTCAAAGAACGAAGCATGTATTGAGTAATTTTTACAAGTAATTTTTAATATTTCGTAATTTTTTTTATTTTTATAATTTCGAAATGGTTAGCCACTTAATGAAGTAATAATATTTGGTTAAAGTCTATTTATACCCTAAACGAAATTATTATGAATTTATGAGTAATATAAGCATAAGGTCATAACCCAAATATTCGGGCTTCCTTAAGCTTCTTGGCCTGTTTTGTTTGAGTACAAGAAGGCATAGCTCTTAAAAGAAGCTAAGTATATATCATTTGGATCTTTAGCCCATTTTAAAAGCCCAATTATAATTAATTAGTTTCACCCAGTTAATTGGGCTTCTGAAGCATTCGAAGCTTAGTAGCCCAAGAAGACCTTTCAATCACTCCAACTTATTTTCCCCATTCATATAATTGGAAGGTCAATCCAACTCGATTAGAAGTATCAATTAGATGGGGAAGATACATACGTTGGTTCCTCTATCATCAATTCGTCATTTCCTTCTTGTCAACCACAATGGTTACAAATTTTTCCACACCGGTAGAGTTGGCAAAAGTCGTGTAATGTTCGATCTTGTGTTTATTCCGTGTTGCTCATAAAACCTATAAGAAACTATTAGAATGTAGGATAATTGCATAATTCAACCAATTTATCAAAATCGGTCATGTTTAGGTTAGTTTTATGTTGACTTCATGTTTTCTCTCAACAATTTTGTGTTTATGTTGTGCAAGTTACAATCGTATTATTGTTTTGTGTCGTGTCAGAGATTGCTAGCTCTACATAATATTGGTACACAAATAAAAACATCATCGCCGGACTACCCATTAATTACATCCGCCTAATAGCCATTTTACTACGTATGTCCCAAGATCAACTTTGTGAATACTTATATAATAGAGTTCATGTACAACCAGTGGCGTATCCAGGATTCTAAGTTAGTGGGTTCGGATTTTTTTTTTTTTAAACTAGAGTAACTAACACGTGCGATGTATGTACAATAGCTAGCTAGCTAGGTTCGGGGAGCTTCAGTTTGGTCATGTGTCACAACTTTAATCTTGAAGGTGTAAATACATTTAAGAAAATAACTTTAGTAATTCCAATGATATTTCTAGAAAAAAGAAATTCATTTTTACCATATGTGAATGAACCTCTTAATATTAGCTTTGAAAAAGGATGGAATAGTAATCCCTCAAAAAAAAAAAAAAGAAAAGAAAAAAAAAGAGGATGGAATAGTAAAGAATAATAATAAATCTAAAAAGATTAACTTTTTTTAAAAATTAAAAAAAAAGGCACTAGCAAGAGTCGAACTGCTGACCTCAAGGGATTGAAGGAGTTAGGTTTAACACGCTGAGCACCAAGCCAGTTCAATTTAAGAGTAATATGCTGCATGTGCTTTATTTATAACATAGTTTTATTTTTTCTTTTAAACTACCAGATTTTTGGGACGGATCAAGTGGGTTCAATGAACCCACTTGAACCCAACGTGGATCCACCACTATGTACAACATATAATAGATATTTATTACAGTAATTGTAAAGTTGTATTAGTTTAGACTTTCACACGTTTTGGTAAGTGCTTATTATTTTTATATTTATATAAGTGTTTTTTGTAAGAAAATCAATGAAAAAAAAAACCAGTTCTTCAATATCCTACATACTTTTCTAATAAGTTTTTTGGAATTTAGGGTCACAATCCTTCACGAATTTCACATGACCTGCCCCTTTATGTTAAGTGAAGGGTGTTGCTCTCTACCCGTCTTTTTCTATTTCTGAAGAAGGTAAATTAATAAAGTGATCCTCTAAAATAATCTGGCTTATGCTTATTATGTCCTTGCATTAGTATAATTGATTGAGTCTCTTTGGCCCTTATCATTATCCGTCCACGTGACTAATTTGACTAATTTCATATTTATATGCCATATTTTACCAAAATAGCAATACCAATTCCCCGGGTTTACTACTTTACATGAATACCAATACCAAAAACCCCACTTTCAAAGGGCCTAGCTAGTTCTCGTGTTAAATCAGGTCGGAGTGAACTGTGAGAGATTACAATTCGATAGGGCCTTCAGCCCTCTCCTTAATTACCTACCAAGAAAATTATGATCTTATGCATGATATAATAACTGATTAAATTCTTTTAGCAAAACCTACATTTAAGTATTAATCAACAATAATTTTGAAAAGAGAAAATGTAATACTATACGACATGATTCATTATTGAATAAAATCACTGTGATGACATTTGGGTTCATGACGATCTTCACTGAAAATATCATAGGAGTTAGATATTTATGTCGTCTCTAATCATATGTTGCTCAAAATTAATCATAATAACTTACAGTCCTTACAAATTTAGTAGCACATAAACATTTGTAATAAAAATTAGATTAATAGATAGATACGCATGCATATTCTTTAAGTCTTAACAAGTTCCGTTATTCCATAATATTTTTCTCAAGTTTGATTTACACTCTTTACTAGCTTTCGCATAGAATATATAAAGCGTCCATTTTCCTGAATTATTAATTATTATTGTTAGTATTATTTTGTCGTCTAGCTTTTCACTCATTTTAGTTTTTATAATATAAGTTGTTAATCCACAATTTCCTACTCTAATTTTATATGTTTAATCAGTGTTATGACTAGCTAATTAAGATAAACACAGACCAAGCTACTACTTGTAACTTAGTGATAATGAAATAGGCAACACATAAGCTTTGAACAGGCAAAGATAGATGTAGAAAATATCCAATTACATATACATTAAAAAATTATCAATAAAGCTCTATAAAATTAGCTAAGTATAAGAATAACGAAATCATTTTCAGGTTGACTTTTGTAGTTCATTTCCTTTTGTAACTCCAATTTTTTTTTTTAATAAAAAAAAAAAAACCGAAAAAATTAAAAAATCAAAAATTAAAATTTTTTTTGGTGATCATCAAAAATGGGATTCTTAGAGTTGTTGATGGTGGCTCTAATGCCGGTGTTGAAGACGCTGCTGTTAACAGCAGTAGGGGTAGTTCTTGCCATGGATCGAATAAATCTGCTGGGTTCAACAGCAAGACATAATTTGAACAATGTAAGTACACATACATACATACATACATATATATATATATAAGTCATATATACATATTTATAATACAATTATGATCATGCTATCAAAATTTCATTTGGTTCATATTTTGTAAGTCTTGCTTTAATTGATTTACCAAGAAAAGTATGCATATTCATGATATACACATACTTGAACTTTTTATTTATTTATTTATCTTAATAATATGTTGTTGATATAAAGATAAAAATATAGTTGTGGATGTAATACACGCGTCTTTATTCTGTATGAGTTGGGTTCATAAACAGATTACTAAGTGTTACGGTTCCTAATGTTTTCTTAATTATATTTTTTTTACCTTTAAGGGGAAAAAAAAATTACAAAGTGTTACGATTTATGTTGTTAATGAGATTCAATCTCATGTTTAAAATGTCCTGTGACTGTCCAATGATTTCAATCACAAAACAAACTTGTACGCATGTCCTAGGACTTGGCTAAAGAAAGCAAGTCTAGTTCAACATATAAAAAAAATTAATTAATTAGTATTGTATCAACCAATCATTATTGATCAAAATTGTTCAACATAAGACGGAGTACTAATTAAATCATATTCAGATGATGTTTATTACTGAAGAAAATATGTATCATTTACCTTCCTTTATAACTAATGAAAGGAATTTTTCTATGACAACAGATGGTGTTTTATGTATTCAGCCCTTGTCTTATGGGCGCCTATCTTGCAAAAACAGTTACATTGGATGTTATGATGAACATGTGAGTAACCCAAATTGGTAAAATCTATACATTCCATATGATGTCGCGTTTAATTAAAATTACATAGTCTAATTTAATTTTATGTATTTGTAATTGTAGGTGGTTCATGCCAATTAACATTTTGATCACGTTTATAATCGGATCAGTTCTTGGATGGATTCTTGTTAAGATCACTAAAGCACCCCATGATTTGAAAGGCCTAGTTATCGGATGTTGTGCTGCTGGTATATTTTACGCGCTATCTCATAACTTCATATTGAAATAAAATGTTATCAACATCTAAATTATTATGTTAATAATCAGTCAATTTAATTATAATCTTGCATTCAGTTTGTTTATACATACAAAATTGAATAAACAGGGAACTTGGGGAACTTGCTTCTTATAGTCATCCCAGCAATATGCAATGAGCCAAATAACCCCTTTGGTGAATACTCAGTTTGCATGACTGATGGAGCAGCTTATGTTTCGGTTTCTATGGCGGTATTACTTCACCATACATATCTTAGTGACACTTATTAAGGATGTTGAATATAATGTACAACTTCTAACAAAAATGTGCTTGATTTTGTAGGTAGGAGCCATCTATATATGGTCTTATGTGTATGTTATCATGAAAGTATCAGCTGAGAAGAGCACTCGCGGTGATAGAATAGATACTCATCACTCTGTTGTGATCGTAAGGCCTTCTGTTGCAACTTCTGATAGCAAAGAACCATTACTAATTTCTAACTCTAAGGTAA